GACATTTTTACCACATGTGGATACTGGCACAAGTAACACACCATTAAATTTTGGTGATGTTCCGGATCACATTGCGGGTACAGGAATTTTTTTTCTTTTAATCCTCTCAGATCAGCATAGCTGTGATGCTTTCACAGGGCTTCTGTAAAAAACTGTGGCAGCTTTCAGTGGTTGGACTTCAAACTTTATAAAAGTAATGTTAAAACCAGATGTAATGATGAATAATTCTTCCCATAATGTGCACATTTTTACGCATTTGGTGCGCATTTAGAGAACGTTTTGTTACCAGGAAGTGCGTGACTGCACCATGAAACCTCTTTTTTCCCATTTCCTCAAACACACAACATTGTCTGTACGCTTGTACACAGATCGATGAAGACTGAGGAAGAGGAGTGACGCGGTGGACTTCAGACTCGAAGGTTGTTTGTTGTTTTTACTATTATTTAAATGAGGCCAGATCAAGTCGAGAGCTATTTGTGCRCAACTCTATCCACCTCTYGCCAAATTTTGGGGAAAAAAAGAATGTGCAGAGCGTGGTTGTGACCACTGTGTGTGGTCCTCACAAAGATAGGAAGACGCGTGTGTGTCTGTGTGATTAYGCGCATGACGAAAACTCTGCTTTTTTGAATCACATAGCACCGATGCAAAAGCTTTTCCAAATAACGTCGGGTGATAAGTCTGACTTTTTCCCTTTTTTTTCACATTGGATTCCACCAGGAAGAAATCCCGTGCATTCTGCCTGCTTAAATGTTCRCTACATTAGAACGTATTCGGCAAATGTGTTTCCATCTCTGCTTTTAGTGCATTTACTCTATTACAGGATGGGGGAACTTGGACTTGGTTTGCACTCTGAGTGCTTCTAGTTTTTTTTACAATTGGAAAGAAAATATATACAGTGGCTTGCAAAAGTATTCATACCCCTTGAACTTTTCCATATTTTGTCACAGTACTACCACAAACTTAAATATATTTCATTGGAATTTAATGTGAAAGACCAACACAAATTGGTATACAATTGTGAAGTGGAACAAAAATTATACATGCTTGAAATTATAAGTGACATTTTTATAATGAACTTATATGCTTGCACCGATAGTGTACAGCAACATTTCTGCCTAGTAAGAACTGAAGGCCCACAGTCAAAAGATCGAGCACAGTAAGCTCGAAAAACAGCAGGTAATATAAGGGTTGAAAGAGGAAAATAGACAAGCTGTGAAAAGCCAAGGCCTCAGTGGTGCCATGATTATTGGACCACTCAGTGCTGTGACCCCCAAACTGGAGAAATGGCTCCAACAGATCCCAGAAACAATCTTGGAGATTCCTGTTTAGAAAAGTGCAGTCCTAGGAATTGATAAAGATGCTTCGCAGAACCCTTGAGCTCTCAGACCTCTGATAGAAGGTCAGATTTTGACGTGAAGTAAAACTACCCAAATGGAATAAATTGGGTCAACCTGAGAGTTTTATACATAGTTAAAAGGTAGGACATTAAACTATAACAATGCACCTATAACACTATGTCATTTTATTATTATTATTTTTTTTTACAAACCTAAAGGCTTATAAAAAAGCATTCACAAGAACCATATTCATTTTTAGAAAGAAGTATTTGGATCTGCACTAAGTCGCTTTGGTACAAAATACAAAAGTGTACAAAAGATTATGTGATGCTTGGATTGAGCTAAATTGTCTCCTCTCTGATTGGATCTGACAGTCGTCACTCGAAAAGTTAACTTTTAATGACATCTCACACTCCTGTCTCAGAGCAATGGTAATGCTTGCACCAAGATTAAAAATAAAGACAACACCGGATTCCCAGGCATGCTGGGAAACGTGAACCTCTGAGCTATTTTACTGCCACTCCACATCAATCTGAGGATCCTATCAATGCAAATAAGACACGTAGAAGGCAGCTGGCTGTTTGGAAAGAGCAGCATGGAAACGGCATATAGTAAGAAAATACTGTATATACATATAGTGAGGAGGTACAGTATATTGAGAAAGTAATTTAAAGCAGCAACAATGAGATTTTCCTCTGTATTTCTACCTGCGGTTAGAAGGTCACTCCGCTACTGCACAACATCAAAATGGCAAAGATTAGGTGAATGCAAAGCTCTGACTCAGACGTTTGAAGATGAAGTTAATATAGAAAAACAAATAGCTTCTTACAAAAGCAGTCTGCATAAGAATAATTACATAAACAAAAAAAATAGCTTTCAAAGACTGAAAAAAACAAACAAACACTAAAAATACATACTTTTTAGATTGTGTCCATTTCTGTTTCTGTTAGCAGAATATCTCACGCACCACTAGATGGATTTTAAATGAACTCTTGGAATGTAATTACTGGATGTGAATCGATTCAAGATAGCCAACACAGCTAAAAGTCCTTAAACACAAAACATGCTTACAGCTTAATTAAATATACAGACAATGGCTAAAGATTAGTGTGGTAGGATCTAATTCATCCTGACAGAGCTCTCACGGTATTAGATGTGACTGCGCATAATAATGTCATTTATAAAGTTTAACCAGAAGAGTTTGAAGTCAGCAATTTTTTTTATTAAAAGTTCTCACAAATTTTTGATTTCTCATTTTAGAAATACCAAACACTGAGTTCCTATTTAGTAATTAAAGTTAGAAAATGTGTGTACGACAAAATAAATTTATATATATATATATATATATATATATACAGTATACACGTACGTATATAGTTGTATCCCACCAATGCTAATATCAGGCCTGACACCAGCACTTTTACAAGTACTCATACAATATTTCCCAATACTCTGGACCAGTACTAATAGTAGTATTGATACTGGTATTAATATTACATTGAATGGGTTACAGTTTACATCTCAAGCAGACATTTTGTAAGGACGGCCTGTTTGTTATTCCGACGCTGTTTTAGTTTGGCAATGCCTCGGGACACCCTCAAAAAATGTGGACGCTTTCTTCCAAAATCCTACCTAAAAGCCTGGTTCCAGCGAAAAGTTGGTCATTTCCACATTTAAGAAATTTGCACAAGTTAAAACAAAATCCTATTTGTTATTACCTCCGCCAAGGGCGAGGTAATGTTTTCGGTCGCGTATGTCTGTCTGTCCGTCTGTCTGTCATTCTGTCTGTGGACAGCATTACTCAAAAACTTGTGGATGGATTGTCATGAAATTTTTTACCACATGTGGATACTGGGCCAAGGAACACACCTTTAAATTTTGGTGATGTTCCAGATCATGATGCAGATTCAGGAATTTTTTTCTCAACACTCTGACATCAGCAAAGCTGTGATGCTTTCACAGGGCGTGGGTTTCAAAGTGTCCTGCAGGTGGCACTGTAGTATTGGTGTGCCCCTTTGTAACTCTGTTAGAGGATGGGGGAAATTGGTCTTGGTTTGCACTCTCCGAGTGCTTCTAGTTTGGGTTTATTTTAAAAATTTGCATTATGCTACAAATGCTATTTCATGCTATTTATTTGGTTTGATCCAGTCAGAGGGGCTGTAGTCATAAGGAAGGAGATCCACTTTGTTCTAAATAAAAGAAAAGCATTTTTAAAGTCATTGTGTAACATTTAGGTTCTAAATCAGTAATTACTTGGTATTGGCGAGTACCCAAAGTGAAGTACTCCCACTCAGTTTGCGAAAAACTGGTATCGGGACACCCCTACCAAAAACATGCATGTTAGGTTAACTGGCAACTCTAAATTGTGCCTAGGTGAGAGGAGAGTGAAAGGTTGTTTTGTCTCTATTTGTCTCTGTGATGAACTTGAGATCTGTCCAGGGTGTACCCTGCCCCTCCCACAGTGACTGCTGGACATGGGCACCAGTGAGCCCCGTGACCCGAAAAGGAAGAAGCAGATAAAAATAATGAATAAATGAAAATTTTCTTCCTTACTTTAGACATACCGAACACTAACTCACCTCCTTGGCATCATAAACTCAGTTCCATTTTAGTCATTTAACCTTGAAAATGTGCACAGAAGGAAGTAAACTCAAACAAGTTTTTACAGTGCAGTTAACGGCAACATATTTTACAGCCCATACCCAAAWAAAGAGACACCATAAATCATTTCGAGGGGGAGGTTAAGAGGCTACATATTACATTTCTCACTGATGATTCATCATAACTATAAAACATATTTGATTTGAAGGTGCTCTGATGCGTCCCAGAGAGGCTTATTTTTCCTCTCTCTCTACCTAGTGATCTCGCCTCAAGAGTGAATTGCGAAAGCAAAAGCACAAAAGTGAAAGTTTCACATCGAACATCAACATCACCTGTGAGATTACGTAGACCGAGCTGCCTCAGGCCGTAGAAGCCGTCCCGCCTGTAGTTGAGGAAGATGGCGAGGGCGTAGCGGCCCTCGTACAGCTTGGTGCCCCGGATGATCCGCAGATTCTCCAGTGGGAGGTACTCAAACTGATTGAGAGCCACCAACACGTAGCCGGTCACCTCTCGGATTGACTGCATGGGGGACAAGAAAAGGAGCAAAAAGTTTCATCTTTTAGTCTCCAGGTGTGGAATTCAACAAGAAACATTAAGAACATTTTAAGTGTGCCAACACATTTTTACTCGGAAAAGATTACCAAAATATCTCATGAACCACAGAACTGATTCAATTGAGAAACTCAAAATTTAATTATTAAATTTTAATCTAAAACATTGTTTGAAGTCAACCCAATTTAAGATGGCCGCAAAAGGTAAGCAACCCTACACTGGAAAAAAGGATTTTTGGGTGTGGTAACATTCATTTAATTATTCTTTTAAATTTTACAAAAAATATCTATATCTCTAAACTACTAGAATTTACTAAATAAACAATACGCATTACATTATACAGTATATCATTATTACTGTACAAAAATAGTAAATGCAAATATTATTTTACCAGTAATATTTAAGTGCTTTTTCTGGGCAGTACATAAACATGAATATATGAAGTAACTTCTACTCTTCTGGGCTAAAACTGAGGGCGCATGCACAGACAAAGGCTGCTGCTCCTCATTCCCTTGCTTCACTTTTCAAGGAGAGGAAAAGACATGGTCGAAATAAAACATAAGTTGTCTGGTTTTTTTTTTTTTTGCTTGAATACATTTGTTGGTGTGCAATAGTTTGATGGCATAATGTAGGTGATATTTAGTTGTCAGGGAACAGGGAATGCATATTGTAGCATTATGTTGTGTTTGGCTGTTTGTCATGTGACTGCAGTGGAGGATTGTGGGTAGGATTCATTTTTGTTGTTGTTAAATCATTTTAGGGAATAGGTTAACATTGTTCT